GTGAAGGACAAGTTTATTTTAAAAAGTTTCTAATATGTGACACTTTTGTCAGGTATTTTTACAAAATACAATAAAGAAGAGTTACTAGAAATAAAAACCCAGATGTATAAAATGCCAATGCCATTTAAAAAATATTATATTTGACAGACATAACATTTTTAAACAGTCTTAGTTTCTCTCCTTATGTCTTTGGAAACTGGTAACAAGCAGCAGCCTGTGGACTGGCACCAGCCTTTGGGCCATACCCTGAAAAGTAGAATGGCAGAATACACACAAAATGACTAAGAACCAAGTGAAGCCAACGAAGCAGCTCAACTCTGGGCCAGGGAAGTACCTGATAACCTTCAGAACTCCAACACCTCAGGCCTGAAGCTGAAGGGGCACTACCCACACGCTCCTCAGGAAACTGAAGAAAACAGGGCTGTTTGTAGGAGTGACAGGACTACCCTCCTTATCACCAGTGGAGAAGGTAATGATGAGGGAAGGTGGCAGTTTCCTCCCAAGCTCTCCTCTCAAGGTCATGGGTCTCCACTGTGTCTGAGGTGAAAGAGATGAGACTGGGCTCAAGAAGCCTGCAAGTCCAGTGGCACCTGGGTGGCTGTTGGTTAAGCATCCAACTCTTGATTTCGGCTCAGGTCATGCTCTCAGGGTCCTGGGATTGAGCCCCGTGTTGGGCTCCACGCTCAGTGGGGAGTCTGCTTGAGGATTCTCTCTCTTCCTCTGCTCCTACCCGCCCCATGCGCTCTCTCTCTCCCCCTCTAAAATAAATAAATTTAAAAAAACAAACAAACAAACCTTCAAGTCCCTGCGCAAAGGTGGGACAGAGAAGGGGTAGAAGTGAAGGTTGCTGCCTCAGGGACCCATATATACACCCCCTAGGACAACAGTGCCTGGGGTACATCGAGCAGTAGAATTAGCCACTCCTCTGAATCAGACTTTCTCCTCAGCCTCAGAGAACAAGGTTTCTTTCTGTCCAAGGCTAACCTCTCCTGATGCATTCTAGCTCCAATCCTTTTCTTCCTTCTGAAATTCAAGTCCATCAATTATCTTTTTTCCCTTTCATTTCTGATCCATTTTTCCACTCAGTCATCTGGATGGTCTAAGACTTCTACCCAATCTCAGTAATATTCAAACCACTTCAGATCTTGTCAACTCATCTCCCAAATCTCCCACCATAGTATTACCTCTTCTTTATTTTCACTGCCACTGTCCTATGTAAGGCACTCATTTCATACCTAGATCACAATAACTCCTTACCAAGTCTTTATCCACAGACTGAAAGACAGAATCATTAATTTTTTAAGATCTCACAAAGTAGTGGGGAGAATTCCATGCCAAGAATGGAAAGGGCACATACATATATATATATATATATTTTTTTTTTCTTTTTGAAATGATACATTGATGGACTACTAACTGCAGTAGATTGAAGATTGCTGGATAAGAAATGGTAGGACAGTAGGCTAAATGAAAGAAATCAGTGTGACAAAGGAAAAGGGAAAGAAAATAGTGGTTCGGCTAAAGACAAAGCTGGGAATGAAGAAATCTGAATAATGAACAGTCGTGTCCCCTGCCCCCCATCACTGGAGCTAAGTTACACCCAAGGTGGACTCAGTATCCTGAAGGCCAACCAAAGGGGAAGGTCATGGGACTAGTAGTTTCCTGTTCCCACCTGACAAATTTCAAACTTTTTTAAAACTACATATATCATGTGGCTTTCCACTTCCTTTTTAGAGCCCATCCTCGCCGGATGCAACAATTTACTTAGAGGCAGGAAACTAATGCTGAAGTCAGGAGGTGGACAAGATCTGTCATCACAGCGGATTACCTGCAGTCAACCAGATGTCATGCTGTAGTCTAGAATAGCCCTTTACATGCTGCTTCTGCCTTGACTTGTATTTCTCACATCCATTTTGCAACTCCTTCTAGTTTCAGGACAATCAACAACTGTCTTTCTGAACATGAAGATAAGTTAAATGTTTCCTCCTCCAAGATCTCATAGTATTTTTCCCATCTCTCTACCAAAGCTATAAAATCTGTCTTCCAAATTAGCTACCAGATTCTAAAGGACAGGGGCCATGTTCCGCTAATCTTTAAATCCCCAGCAACTAGCTCAACTGACTAGGAATCTAAATGATATTTATAAATTCACATTCAACTTAAATGAATAATGAAAAGATACAAGTAATGAACTTCAGGATCATCAAGGGAAACTCTTATTTTTACACATGAGAAAACCAAGGATGATAGTGAAGTGACTTACTCAAGGTCACAAAGGTAGGGGTTAAATTGGGACTCCTGCCTTTCAGCAGACTCAAGGAGAATGTCTGGTATATAAGAGAACACTCAATAAATATCGGTGGAATGAAATCCTTTCTTTAAATTCAAGTTATTAACATATACCAGAATCTCAAAATTTCACTGTATTAGCAATCCCCAATGTTGTGATAAATAATCTTCATCAGGGACCAGGTAGAGGAAAAGGAAGGAAAATACAGAGAGCACAGGGTCTTATTCACATTAATTTCCCTTGAAGTCCTCAATTCCTTTGCAAGGCACAGAGATGGCATTCTCAGGACCTTGAGGCAGCTTACTGCCTTCTAAGCCCATTTTTATAAGAGCTCATGTTCTCTTCCTATGTATATAAGAACTGTATTTGCCAAGCAAGTTTGCTGGTAGTGGTGTTAAGAAACAATTATTTCTTCCTTAAAATCCAGCCTGATACTTCATTCACGTAACTTCTGGTGTAATTGACCTGTTTAGCTCTGGAGAGGGAATAGCATGGAGTTGGAAGACATGGGCTTTCCTTCTGACTCTGCTGCTCTGCAACAGAGGACACGGTGTTTGCCATCAGCTTTCTCAGAATTAGAGCTCTCCTTGGTAAAATGCCAGCACCAAAGCAGAGAGAGGGCTGGCTGATCCCTTCCATTTCAAACATTCTATGATTCTAAGTGTCAATCTTGAGGTAACTTTCTAGGAATGGTTTTATAGAGACAAATGAATAATCAGTTTCTTAAAAAGTGCTACTCGGTAATTTAACAATTCATTGTACCAATTAAACATGTAGATATGTTGGTAAAGGGAACGAAGCAATCAGAGCATAAAAGATGAATAACCCATCTTACCTACCTTAATGATCACATCGAGTATGTAGAGAAATATCTCACATTAAATCCAACAAATCGTTGGATGTACAAAGGCCAATGGGATTAAAAAAAAGTGAAATTCTTTTAGTAGGTTTGGGGTTGGGGGAAGTGTCTGTGACTCTTAATTCTTAAAAAACACCACAGATAACTCTGATGAATAATTTGGTTAAGAAGCATTTCTGGGACTGATTTGGTAACTACTGTGCTGGCATTTAACAGATTTTTTAATGTTTAATAAATGGTTATTGTTAATATGTATATTTTATTTTTTTCATATATGGAATCTGCTCATGAAGAAAAGCACCATAATTTATAATTGTTTGTTTTCCTGAGACCACTGAACACTGGCCAGGGCGTGTGATAACTGAATAACTTTCAATGTGAGTGAAATGTCTTGGCAGGAAAAGGGTGACTTTGAGAGAGGACCAGGCAAAGATGCTGTGTGGAGTCTTTCAGTAGAATAGCTGAGTGCTTTGGGGAGTGGGCCAAGTTCATGGAGGGAGGGTGGTTCCGTAAAAATGATGCGGAATTTAAAGTAAGCAGCCACCTGTGCAGACTCTGGACACGTCATTTGATAGCTACATGTCCTCAGTATATTAATGTTCTTACACCCATATTTATAAAATGTATGTCTCACACTGAAGTCTGACAATAAAAATAAAGTACAGAACAAACACAGGACCTGACACCAGATAGGTGTCAATTAATGCTGATGTTCTTCCTTTGTTCCAAGCAAGAAAGGTTATGTTCATTCTCAGATGGCATTTTCAGAGAAGAAACACCAACTCACCTGGAACTTGGTCATTTCCTCCTCTCAGGAAGGACAGAATCCTTGGAAAGATAGAGTTAGAGAAAGAGAAAAAGCCATGAATATCAAGTCCACCTTGCAGGATACAGAGTAGCCAGTCCAGCAAGACTGTAGGAAAAAAGTTACTCTGCTCCTGTTACTAACCCCTTTTTAGTCAACCCTTCACACGCTCTCCTGAGATGCCTTTCTAGTCTCCCCCAGGCTGCACCTCCCTCGCCTCTCTCCACAGGGTTTTGGATTAAACAGGCCAAGCCTCCCTGCCAAACCCACGAGGGTGAGTAAATTCCGCTGCCCCCAGCAACACTAAGATGTGTCCATTTCCTCAGGGTTTCTGATTTCTGCCCTAAAATTCGATAAAGACCGGTAGGAGCTCTCATCTCAGATGCTTTGCCTCTGAATGGATTTCGACTCCCTGAGGCGCTTTCCCCGACCAGCCTCATTTCTGGGGTGGGAGGACAGTGCTGTTGGGACAGAAACCTCGGTCCCTTAAAGAGGCCCCTCTAGGTCGCCTAACGTCCACCGAAAACCGTGGAATAAGGCCAGTCACCGGCACAGAAATGGCCGGTGCGGCCAACTACGAAGCCTCCAGGCCGGCCAAAGCCAGAGCTCAGCCGGGTGAAGGATGGGTCCCCCGGAGCCGCAGCCACTTCTGCGCTGGGGGCGCTTAGACTCAGGTGATCACAGGTCCGAAGGACAGAGCGGCGGTCGCGACGCTCGGACGCACGTGCGACCCCGGGCCGCACCTCCTCCAGGTCGCGCGCCCTCCCACAGCTGCCCAACCAGGCTTCCGGATCTCAGCGGTCCTGCACCTCCCCCGAGGCACTCCCACATCCCAACCACCAGACGCCTCCCTGCCCGCGGCGCTGGCTGTCCTGTCCCGCGCGTCTCACCTCCCACGTGGAATACGATACCTGGAAAAGCAGGACTCCCGACACTGACCCGCACCCGCGCCTACGGGCTCGGAACTACAAGTCCCAGAAAGCTGGGGGATGGCCACGCCCATTTCCGACGCACGCTTCCGGCGTTGGTCCGGGCTTCGCGGCCTGTGGCGCCGAGGTTTGTTGCTCGCCTCTGGCGTCCGCTTGTTCTCTGTTGAGGTTAGAGACTAATTTGTTCAAGTGCCCTTATTTTTTTGTTGCTGTTGTTAAACTAACAGGTAAGAATTATTTTAGGAATACCCATTAAAGGGTTTTTTATTTTGCTGAAGTGCTACTGGCGTGAAAAGAACGTAAATATCAGCTCTAATTTTGTCTTTGCCTTTAAAAAAATATTCCGAAACGAACATATGCTACTCAGCATCACCAATTCGGCTCCAAAGTTCATGCATTTGGCAAACATGAGGGCCTGCTATGTTCCAGGAACTTAAAAATCACTGGATATTAAATATTTATTTATTTTTAAGATTTTTATTTGGCAGAGACACAGCGAGAGAGGGAACACAAGCAGGGGGAGAGGGAGAGGGAGAAGCAGGCTTCCCGCTGATCAGGGAGCCCGATGTGGGACTCAATCCCAGGACCCTGGGATCATGACCTGAGCGGAAGGCAGACGCTTAACGACTGAGCCACCCATGCGCCCTAGATATTAAATTTTAGTGGGATAAAGAAGCAATACTTGTTTATACATAAATGGTATAGTGTGTTATAAAGTGATATGTGTTACGGAAAAAGTAGAGCTGATTTGGAGGATTAAGGGGTGTTGGTGTGCGTTGAGATATGCTTTGCAGTTTTATTTTTTTAAGATTTTATTAGAGCACAAGCAGGAGGAGCAGCAGGCAGAGGGAGAAGCAGGCTTCCCACTGAGCACAGAGCCTGATCTGGGATTCCATCCCAGGACCCCGGCATCATGACCTGAGCCGAAGGCAGACGCTTAACTGACTGAGCCACCCAGGCACCCCTGCTTTGCAGTTTTAAATAGGGGTTATTGGAGCAAAGATACTGAGATGAAGTAATCAGTCTCACGACATTCAGAACTCTCTTACATGTACACAGGCAACTATTTATGCACACACATACTTTTTAAACAACATGGGGTCATGCCATATATATGGGCCTACAGTTTGCTTTTAAAAATTCAATAGTACTTACTGTGTATCATAAATTTACCAGAGAAGGGGCGCCTGGGTGGCTTCGGTCGGTTAAGCCTCTGCCTTCAGCTCTGTTCATGATCCCAGGGTCCTGGGATCGAGCTCCGCAGCGAGCTCCCTGCTCAGTGGGGAGCCTGCTTCTCCCTCTCCCTCTGCCTACCTCTCTGCCTACTTGTTCTCTCTCTCTCTGTCAAATAAATAAATAAAATCTTTAAAAATAATAATAAATTTACCAGAGAAACAAACCCTGCCCCCTTGACACCCTTTTAACTGTTACAGCCTTCAAGAGGTGGGCGCCAAAATTCTCCCAGACTACACCTTCATTACTTTCACCCCTCCCTGAGGGGCACAAGACCACTCCCAACTCTCCCCAGGACCTTCCCTTCAGATTTATTTTGGGAGTTAACTGTTGCCTGGGCCTCTCCTCTGTATCTTCCCCCTTCGTTAGTGTATTAGCTTCCAATTGCTGCTGTAATAAATTACCACAAACCTAGTGACAAAAAAAAACAAATTTCTTTTCCTACAGTTCTGGAGGTCAGAAGTCTGAAATCAGTTTCACTGGGCTAAAGTCAAGGTATCAGCACAGCTGGTTCCTTCTGCAGGCTTAGAGAAGGATTTGTTTCCTTGTCTTTCTCAAAGTACATTTGATAGCCTCTATTTCTTGGCTGTGGCTTCTACTTCCATCTTCAAAGTGCTTGACTCCAATCTCTGCTTCTGTCATCACATTACCTTCTCTTGCACTGACTCATGTGTTCGTCTATGGACTGATGAGGACTTACATCAGGCCCACCTGGATAATCCAGGATAATTTCCCTACGTCATGATCTTTAATCACATTCACAAAGTCCCTTTTGCTGTATGAGGTAACATTCAGTTTCTTCGGATTAGGACAGAGACACATTTGGGTGACCTACCATGTTTGGAGAGGCTCCTCCTCTGAGTTGCCTTCCTACCTTTTGTCTGGGGAACATAAAGTATCAGGGCCTTATTGCTCTCCTAAATATTCCCTGATCCATTGATTCTGTCACCCTTGCCTTGACTCTCACTTTCTGATGTTCTCAGTTAACTCATCCAGTTTAGAGGCCATGGCTCATCACTAATGGTTAGACCTTTGCATATACTGTCAACTCTCTTGCCCATGTCTCACTTGGTTATATTCTGCCGATAAAACACCAAACCTGGTTGAATCCAGTTCTCTCTGTTCTGTGCTTGCACTTTTGTAGTAGATGTGGCCTGAGAGAAACACATGGCCATGATGATTGGTCTCACTTTCAATTTATGACCACTAAGGTCAAGTGGGCCCTTAATGCTGCCCAGCTATCCTACTACATTTGCTTAGTCCATACATTCTTTTAACAATTTCACACCTTCTCCTCACTCTTCAAGCCTCTGACAACTCTTTGTCCCATTTCACTCACAGCTGATGACTTTGCTTTCTATGAGAAAAGAGAACTATACTGTCCAAGACCGTCTGCCCACCTTTCTCCACTGGAATCTGTATGCTCTACTTTCCATTCTAAATGAACAGCCTCAGTTCCTATTTAAGACAACTCTCCATTTGTACCCTGAATTGTATCCCCTTTCTCACACATGAGGGTATTCCTCTTCCTCTTCTGTATTAACAGTTTTTCATTCCATACCGAATCATCAACATACTAATGAATATGCTGTAACATCTTCTATAAAATGGGACGCCTGGGTGACTCAGTCAGTTAAGTGGCTGCCTTCAGCCCGGGTCATGATCCCAGGGTCCTGAGATCGAGTCCCACATTGGGCTCCTTGCTCAGCAGGGAGCCTGCTTCTCCCTCTCTCTCCCTCTGCTTGTGCTCTCTCTGTCAAATAAATAAAATCTTAAAAAAAAAACTTCTATAAAATACCCCTTTGTCCTTCATCCCATTTCTCAAGCTACTACCCCATTTCTCTGATCCTTTTTATTGCAAAACTCCTTAAAAAATTGTCTTTAAGAGATGTTTCCAATTCCCATTCTCTTGAATCCACTGCAATTAGGTGTTTTTCCCCACCAATCCAATGGAAAAGTTACCATTAGATTTCAATATCCTGTGTTCAAAATCTATAAATGAAAAACGTTTAGAATGGGAGAAATTGACAAATTACTATCAAACTTGGGTATTTTGACACACCTCTTACAGAAAAAAAAATCAAGCCAGCAAAAATCTGCTTGGGATATGGAAAATCAGAAAAATACAGTTAAGCCTGATTTAGTAGGTAAATATAAAATAGTAGACCCCCAAAGCAGAAAATAACTTTTTTTAAAAACATGAAAAAGTCACAAAAATCCTATTAAAAATGATAAAATGTCGGGCGCCTGGGTGGCTTAGATGGTTAAGCGTCTGCCTTCACCTCAGGTCATGATCCCAGAGTCCTGGGATCGAGTCCTTCATTGGGCTCCCTGCTCCTTGGGAGCCTGCTTCTCCCTCTGCCTCTCTCTCTCTCTGTCTCTCATGAATAAATAAATAAAAATCTTTAAAAAAAATAAAAATGATAAAATGTCAACAAATTTTAGAGTTTATATTATATAGTCAACTTGCAGTTATCAAAATGGACTTTAGATGGACCCTCTCTATAGATGCTAGCCCATGAATCCGCTGTCCACAGGATTTCTGACATCACCTACCAAAGTGCTGAACTTTTTTTCTGTCCATCCCAGAGGTTCTCAAATATTACTTCAACAGCAAAAGCTGATCTCCAATCCTGTAAAGAACATGGCAGCCATCTGAGAAAGTCCTGCAGTTGGAGGTAATGCTATTTGGAGTATGTAAACCATCTATTGTGCTTTCATATAAAAACCAATTAGAACATTGAAATGTATCATTTATGATTCTGATTCCCACTTTCCAAGAACCTAAGACTATATGTTACTTGGATTATTTTGACTTTTATAATGTGCAACGAAGAACTTTATCTTTCTGACACTATCACCATTTTATAGATGTAGAAAACTAAGACAAAATGGTATTTTCCTGAAATCACTCAACTTGTTATTGGCAAATCCTGTTAAGCCAAGATTATTGCCTCTTGTCAGGGCAGTGCTTTTTTTCCTCTAAAAATCCACCCCCAGGGTAGGATTGGGGTGGGTGGAACCATCTAGAAGTCTAGCCTAAAGTTCTAGGGAGAGAGGTAGGGTCAGATGGTTAACAAAAGGATATGGGGACAGACCTGAGACTTATATCCTGACTAACAGGGCAACAGTTCTCAGATTCTGCTGATTGCTTGGAACAGGAAAAGGCCCACTTGGAAGAACATGTTCTTGATGTGAGAAAGAGGAAAGACAAGAATGGCAGCCTGCCCAGATACCAGCGAAAATCCTGGTTCTGTCTATGTCTTTTAACAAATTAAGCAAATATTAGCATATATATGCCAAATACCATACCTTTGTCTTACGTATTTTTTCCATACACTTTACTGAGATGTAGGTAGTGTGACCCCATTTTACAGGTTTTACATTTTTAAAAGTTTCAAGAAGCATATTTAGTGTCTCATAATATGTTTTCCAATCTCATAATAAGGGTAGAGTATGGATTCAGATCCAGATTTTGGGTTTTTAAAAAATATTCCAAAGCACGTGTTTTTCACAGTTGACCCCCTTTATAATTATCCTGTGTTTCCGTGTAATTTTCCCCTTCAAGACTTGGTTTTCTCATTTATGAAAGGGACCCAGTAACCACAGCCCTTTTCAAGGAAACCCCCAGGAAGGCAAAAGGCGTTAAACTGTTCAGGCACTTTCCAGGGTTCTATATGGTTGAAGATAATTATCACTGAAACGTGGTGCATTGTTCTTAGAAAATGTCAGGAGGTGTTTGTAGGGATGAGTTGAGAGGCCGCAGCAGGTGTTGTTATGGGGACAAAAATATTCACGCTGTGTTCTGCACAGTTTAGAATCCCTGGAGAATGATCCCTGGAGAATTTCCTCCCAGGGTGGTGCTGAGACCTTGGGATGTATGCTGAATGGCATTCTGCTGACAGTGATCAACCTGCCTACAAACATATACCCCATACTCATTCATACAAACTATACACATAAATACAATCTGTACCCCTTCACAAGCATGTTCCCACACAACCATATTCATACACAGCATGTGCTTACACTCTCACCCATTATTGTCCATGAGAGAGTACATTATTATTCTCAAATTTTTTTCAATTCATATATTTTTAAAACTTTTTATTTTGAAATAATTATAGATTCATAGGAAGTTGGAAAAAATGGAGGTACCTGTATCCTTCACCTAGTTTTTTCTAATGGCAGTGTCTTAGATTTTGTAATTTTCAGGATATAGATTCTGTAGATTTTTTTTTTTGAAGATTTTATTTATTTATTTGACAGAGACAGAGACAGCGAGAGCAGGAACACAAGCAGGGGGAGTGGGAGAGGGAGAGCAGGCTTCCCGCCGAGGAGGGAGCCCGATGTGGGACTCGATCCCAGAACCCTGGGATCACGACCTGAGCCGAAGGCAGACGCTTAACAACTGAGCCACCCAGGCGCCCTGTAGATGTTTTGTTAAGTATATACTTAAGTAATTTTCTTAGGAAAGATCATAAATGATATTGTGTTTTTATTTTCAGTTTTCACATGTTTATTATTTAGTATACAGAAAATTGATTAATTTTTATGTTGATCTTGGACCCAGTGATCTTGCTGAACTTAATGGTTATTGGAGGGCTTTCTTTTTTAAATGCTTTTTTGACATTGTTCACATAGAGAATAATGTCATCGATAATTAGAGATCATTTTTCTTCTTTATTTCCAATCTGTATCCCCTTTGTGTTTTTTCTGACCTGTTGCACTAGCTAGCATTTCCAGTACTTTGATGCATAAGATGAGGAGAGCAGACATCCTTGTTTGTTACTGTCTTAGGGAGAAGGCATTTGATCTTAACATTAAGTTTGGTGTTACTTTAGGTCTTTATCAATTTGGGGAATTCCTTTCTATTCATAGTTTGCTGAGTGTTGTTATCATGAATAGTTGGATTTTATGAAATGCCTTTTCTTTTTCTTTCCTTTTTTTAAAAAAAGATTTTCTTTATTTGAGAGAGAGCGCACATGTGCATGCATGAGTGGGGGAAGGGGCAGAGGGTGAGGAAGAAGCAGACTCCCCGCTGAGCAGGGAGCTTGAGGGATGCTGAGCTCAATCCCAGGACTCTGGATCATGACCTGAGCCAAAGGCAGATGTTTAACTGATTGAGCCACCCAGGTGCCCCTGAAATGCTTTTTCTTATATCAATTTAATGATCTTAGTATTTTTCTTCTTTAGTATTGATATGGTAGATTATACTAATGGGTTTTCAAATATTGAACCAATATTGGTTGCATACGTGGAATAAATTCCACTTGGCTGAGGTATATAATCCTTTTTATACATTGCTGGATTTGATTTGATTAATATTTTCTTGAGGATTTTTACATCTAAATTAATGAGATATTGCTCTGTAGTTTTTGTTTTGTTTTGTTTTGTTTTGATTCACCCTGGTGTGGTTTATCAGAGTAATGATGGCCTCATAAAATGAGCTGGGAAATGTTTCCTCTATTTTTTGGAATAGATAGCATAAAATTTTATGTTAGTTCTTCTTTAAATGTTTGATAGCATTCTCCAGTGAAACAAGGTAAGCCTGGAGATTTTATCTGAAATTACAAGTTCAGTTTCTTTAATAGTTCTATAACTATTCAGATTGTCTATTTTTGGGGGGGGTGGGTTGTGGTTTTCAGGGAATAGGTTCATTGCTTCCAAGTTGTCACTTTTATGAATGTAGAGTTGTTAGTAGTATTCCTTCTTGAGCCCTGTTTGGGGGACTCACAGTATGGTAAGGAGCCTTTTGCCTAAATAGTGGGACTGAGGCTCATAGGAATGTTTGTATCTGTTTTCCAAGGTAAATGATCTGCTGTGTGGATGATCTAACAGTGCTTTTTTTCCCCTCTATCTTATTTTAGTCTTACCCCACCCCTATCCAGTACCTTTTTGCCATCTCTCCTTAGCTGATTCCAGCCCTGACCCCAGAGAAGGGCAGTAATGATGCGGCCCTTGAGGCCCTGCTAAGCCCTCCTTTCCAGGATGCTCTCCATGTTGCGAGAGCCAGGTGCTCTGGGGGGAAGCTTGTGAGGTCTCCATCTGGGGTCTACATTTTCTGCCTGTTGTGGTCTTGGGACCTGGAGGAGCACCAGCCAGGGAGCACCTCAGTCTTTAGGCCTCAGCTGGAAAGCCCTTGGGAGACACACAGAAAGAAAGGTGGAGGGACTTCGATTTACAGATTTCCTCCTGGATGCCCTGTACTGGGCTCAGGGTCCAACATTCATCCTTGCCTGTTAAAGCACTGGGGAATAGGGGTTATTCCTCACTTGTCTTAAATTGAAGGCACAGAGGATGAGAGAGAAAGGGCCAGTGACTTGTGCAAGATCCTGCTGTTGGTAAATGGCAGAGTCAGGATTGAAACTCATTACCTTAGGTATTGCATTGGAAGCACTTTCACTATAGCACATTTGTCTGTCACCTTTATCTTTTCAGGGGATCACAGATGCAACAGGCCAGAACAGAGATGAAGAAAGGAACTTTTGTTGGACCCCTTGGGCTCTGCCTCCCAGTCCAGCCTGCTGGGGGAATCAATCCAACATAGAAATTTCAGGCCAATTAGGATGGTGGTAGATGCAGGTCCGGTCACAGTGGACTCCTAGGAAAGCTGGAGAAATCACTGTTGGAGCTGGAAAAGGGAGGTCAGGGCTCCCATGTGGATTTGAGCCCTTTCCCCAGCCAGGCTGGCTCCTTACTGGAGTAGGGGATCACAGAGCTCCCTCTGTCCAGATCCCTGTGAGTTCTAAGACTGTCTACACGTCTGTTTCCCAAACTGTCCCCAGGGTGTGCTCAAATGATGTATAATCATAGAAATGAAGAGGGTGATGAGGGGGGTCTCATCCAGCCCTCTTTTCAGACTGGGAATCGAGGCCCAGAGAAAAGAGGCGAATTGGTCGAGTGCCTGCAGGCAAGCAGGGAGGGGAGAGAAGGAAAGTTAATCCTGCCCAGTAATAAAGGGCTCTTGGTGCTGCCTGCTAAGGGTGGAGGGGGGAGGGGGAGATGGCCCCAGGGCTGTGGAAACTCATCATTATAGTGTACATGCTGCTAGATGCACCTCAGCATGATTCCTGCACTCATTCAGAAAGCATTCAGCAACTATATTCTGTGTACCTCAACCCATAAAATGCTGTTTCTCCACATGGCTCCACCAGTGCTGGGGGGGAGGGTTTTAGCGGTTTTCAGCTTTATGAATCCTCTCTTCTCCCCCATCAGCCTCTCCATCCTGATTGTTGTTGCTGTACTTCCCACCTTTCTTCAGACTGTATCTGTTGAATTTCTCTAAGATACCGGGCCCAGCCAACTAAGGGATACTAATGAAAAGATAACTTAAGGAACATACTCCAATCCAAGGTTAAATGTATCACAGAGTATCCCTAAAGATCTAGAAATCTTTAAAACCAAAAAAACCAAAAAAAGGTTCCATTTAGATGTTGTATTAGGATGATAGAAATGTAAAAGAGAAAAGATCTGTGTGGAGCAGGCAGAGTTGGGTTGCTGGATTTAGCAAATGAAAATGTCCAGCTCAGTTAGATGAAAATGAAAATGCCAAGCTCAATTAGAATTTCAGATACACAATGAATGACCTTTTTTTTTTTTTTTTTTTTTTTTAGGAGATGTGTGTCCCTTGTAATGTTTGTCTGAAATTCAAATGTTGCTGGGCATCCTGTATTTTATCTGGAAACCCTAGAAGAGTGACATGTTTCCAAGAATGCCTTGAAAGACTCTAAGGGGGTAATTACAATCTGGTAAGCTAGCCCGGCCTTCAGCTTAGCCACCTACCTCAGAGAAAGAGGATACTGAGAATAGCTGCACAGAGCTTCTCAGCAGCTCAATTATCAGCTCCTCCTGGCTCACCTTCTCTGTTCTCTGCCTTTCCCTCATCTTCCATGAAAACCCACACCTTCTCTGCTTCAGGCACCAAGAGCAGCTAAAGGCAGGGGCCGTGGAGTGAGATTGCTTGGGTGTAAATACAGGCTCCGCTACCAGAAAACAAGACACCATGGGCAGGTTTATCAATGTCACTAAGTGCTGATTTCCTCCTCTGTAAAATGAGGCTGCTGAAAGCTGCCCCTCTCAGGCTGTCGTGAGAACTGCAGGAAATAAGGTGTGGAAGGCCTGCATCACAGTGCCCTGCAGTAAAAGTTAATTTACCTGTTTTGACATCTCGGGGCGTTGGTTGCTAGAGGCATGCCCTTGGAGACAGAGGAGCTGTGGGAGGAAGTTTTGACCTGCTCCAGGAATGTCTGCCTTTGCGCCCTGTTGTGTCCTTGTATCTCTGACTTTTTCATTTCTTTTATCTCATTTCTCACAACAGTCCTGGGAAGTAGGGGAGCAGAGATTATTAACTTTTTTGTATATGAACACACCGAGGCCACATGATTTGGCCTCTCCAAACCTTCCTCATCTGTTAAAAAAAAAATGAGAAGTAGGGTGAGATCCTTATGGCAGCAGAGTTTTTTTTTAGTTAATTTTTTAAAAGATTTTATTTATTTATTTGATAGAGAGCACACGAGCAGGGGGAATAGCAGAGGGAGAGGGAGAAACAGGCTCTCTGCTGAGCAGAGAGCTCGATGCAGGGCTTGATCCCAGGACCCTGGGATCATGACCTGAGCTGAAGGCAGATTGCTTAACTGACTGAGCCACCCAGACACCCCTTTAAAAAATTTTTTTTTTAAGATTTTATTTATTTATTTGACAGAGAGAGAGTGAGCACACAGGCAGGGGGGAACAGTGCAGGGAGAGGGAGAAACAGGAGCAGCAGAGTTTTTGAAGTTCCCCAAGTCACTCATAAAAATGGACTGAGTCCCTAGGATAGCAGGAGAAACATCCCACTAGACAGTATCTTCAACAAAGCCAAAGTCAGGGCACCCCCACAACCAGAAGAGGTGAGGTCAAAGCACCGTGGGGCTTCAGCAGCTGTTCCAAAATAGAATCCTGGAACCCAGAACACAGAAACTACCACCACATAATACAGTCCCCAGAGAAGAGAACTCCACTCTGAGTGGACTCCTCAGTAGGAAGCTGAGAACACCATTGAAACTGAGCTAAGGTTCCATAGGCTCCTTCACAAGCTCAAGTTTGTAGGTAAATCCAAAAGATGGCAGGAAACTGAAAAAGCCAGGGCTTTTTGGAGAAGTGGCTGGTTTGTGGCAAAGCATAGTGTAGGCCTTGGACAACTTGTCTGCCAGAGAACAAGAAACTTTCAAAGACTACTAACATCATGTCATAAGGATCCAGGCCTGATTGAAGGGTTCTCCTTTGAGTCAAACAAATTAGGTATAAAAGAAATCTATGGGACACTTAGAGATATTCAGATTTGGACTGGATATTAGATATAAAAGAATTTGTGGAAAAAATGAAGACTAACCAAATGAGAATAAGCAAAGGCTATTTATTCAAAGCATGCTGTGGCAAGGTTACCATCCCTTGCATTTTGGCAGAGACTCAAAGACAGTGGAGTGGTAAAGCTTCAGAGCAGAAAAAAGGGAAGGCTTTGGGTATGCCCTGATTGCAGGCCATTGGGAGGGGAAACTGGAGGTAGCTAAGTAGAAGAGGGCGTCCTATATGCTTGGTTAGGGGAGTATATTTGGCATTCTCTGATTGATCCTAAATTGGAAGTGGGGACAAAACTAAGGGATACTGTCAGTTATTAACGTCTGACTCTTAGGGGCTGGTTGATAGTTTGGCTGCTTGGGCTGATGGCTAGAGATGATGTTTTGATTTCTTACAAGTCAGTCTACAAGCAGGCTGGCTTCCTGGGCTAGTTATTATAAATTGTTGCTAGTTGCTATAGATTTTTTTTTTAAGATTTTATTTATTTATTTGACAGAGACAAAGCGAGAGAAGGAACAAAAGCAGGGGGGGTGGGAGAGGGAGAAGCAGGCTTCCCTTGGAGCAGAGAGCCTGATGTGGGGCTCGATCCCAGGACCCTGGACCATGACCTGAGCCGAAGGTAGACGCTTAACGACTGAGCCACCCAGGTGCCCTGTGACTATCTTTTTTTTTGCTTAGTATTGTTTTCAAAGTTTATCAGTTATGTAGCATATATCAATACTTTCCTTTTATTGCCAAATATCCCACTGTTTGGATATACCATACTTTTTTATCCATTTGCCAGTTGATGGACATTTGTGCCTTTCCCACTTTTGACTCTTGCAAGTAACACTGCTATGGACTCTTATGTACAAGTTTTTGTGTAGATGTACCTGGGAATGGTATCACCGAGTGATATGATAACTCCATGTTTAAAGTTTTGAGGAACTGCCAAACTGTTTTCCAAAATGGCCACATCATTTTATCATTCCACCAACAATGAATGAGGATTGTAATTCCCCACATTCTGATGGCTTCTTATCTCATTCAAAGTAAGAGCCAATGTCCTTGCAGTGGACTAAATGGACCAATATTGTATTAGTCAGGGTCTTCCAGAGAAACAGAATGATAGTATATGTGTAATTAATTAATTAATTGGCTCATTTGTTTATAGAGGATGAGAAGTCCCATGATCTGCCGTCTGCAAGCAGGTATAATTCAGTCTGTGTCAGAAGGCCTGAGAACCAGGGGAGCCAATGGCTGAAGGCCTGAGAAGGGAGGGGTGGTGTGCTGGAGGACGTCCCAGAATCTGAAGGCCTAAGAACCAGAAGCTCCGATGTCTGAGGACTAGAGAAGATGGATGTCTCAGCTCAAGAAGAAAGAGAGAATTCATCCTTCCTCCACATTTTTGTTCAACTGGCCTCTCAGTGGATTGGATGATGTCTGTCCCTATTGGTAAAGGTAGATCTTCTTTACTCAGTCTACTGATGCAAATGGTAATGTTTTCTGGAAACATTCTTGCAGACACATCCAGAATTAATGTTTTACCAGCTGTCTGAGTGTCCCTTAGCCCAATCAAGTTGACATGTAAAATTAATCATCACAAACATGATCTACCCTTTACCTGTCTTTAGTGTTCTAACCCCTTGACTTTTTACTGTTCCTCAAATAAACCAAGTACACTCTGTAGGGGCTTTGCATCTGCTGTTTTATCTGCCTGAAACTAACTTCCCACAGATATACCTCTTTTTGTTACCTCACTTCCTAAAGACTTCTGCACATATGATCTCTTATCAAAGGGGCCAGTCCTTACAGCTCTAGGTTAAATAAGAATCCTCTTCTCACTTCTTTACCCTGATTTTGTTGAATCTCTCACTTCCAAATGTCCATTTGAATGTAAGATCTTTGCGGGGACAGACATTATTTGTTTGGTTCACTGTGTTAAAGAGAAATTATACCGACACCTTTTGAAGCTTGCAAAGAAGACTTTATTCAAGACTTTATTGCCTCGCAAGATGGAAGAGAGTTTGTAAGTCCCAGGACAACGGGGGCAAATGAGGATTTATAGCCAACGGACAGGGTGAGGGAATAAATGGAAGAGGACCATGAAGAAAGTGGTTAGGAGTCAAGATGGGGGAGGGGAGAATAGGAGTTTTGGGGGGGAGAAGGAGCTTGATGGGATTCCAAGGGTGGGGGAATTCTTTTTTTTTTCTTTTTAAAGACTTTATTTACTTGAGACAGAGTGAGTACGAGCACAGGGACAGAGGGAGAGGGAGAAGCAGGCTCCCCACTGAGCAGGGAGCCTGACGCAGGGCTCGATCCCAGGACCCTGGCACCATGACCCCATCCGAAGGTAGACGCTTAACTGACTGAGCCACCCAGGCGCCCCTGGGTGGGGGAATTCTTGATGAACTGGCTTAGTAGGATTCTGCGATAAAATTGGACTTACTACGCCAAAGACAAGGTCTTATAGAAGAGGATTCAGAGGATCCTGACCAAAGTTTGGTTAAGGAGGGAGTCCTTGTCAAGTGCTCTGTCCTTAGCATCTAGAATAGTGAGTGGCATTTAGCAGGGCACTGGTTAATCACTGTTAATTTGGTAAGTCAATGCCCCGTTCTGAGAAATGGTCTTCCAAATAAAAAGTCCTAACTGAACAAAAGAGATACACTTTCCTTACTAAGCTATCCAATTCCTGGAGTTTATAAGTAGTACTTTCTTTTTCTCTTAGAAAATAACACATTTAAAAAAATGGATTCAATCTTGTTCCATCTTCTATGTCAGCAAATAGGAAATTTTTAGTGTTTTGGGTGTTCTACTTTTCTAACATGCTTTTTCTTTGCTTAAAATCAAAATGGGATTGCTTGGAAACAAATAAGCAAACGAATCAATCATAAAGAGCTGTCCCAAAGTAACATAAAACATGTCTCATAGATTTGCATGTTTCTAGCATTGGGTGCCAGTCTTGGCTGCATATTACAATCACGTGGGAGGTTTAAAAAAATCCCGATGCCAGGACTACCCAGAGCATTACTCCAGAATCTCTGAAGCTGGGACCAAGGCCCCACTGCTTTTCAAAGTACCCCAAGTGATCCTCAGAAAGGCATAGGATGGAGACACTGAGACCCTGGACGGAATCCCAGACTACATTTCCCAGAGGCTCCGCGGCCGCTTCCGTTTCCGGCCCTGTCCGCCTCCGCGTGCGTAGAGCGAGGTTCCTGGAAGCTCGCAGGTCTCTGCGACCAGTGTCGCCCTGGGTGGTCGCAGTTTTACCGCGCGCTCAGCCTCGCGGCCCAGCCCGCCCAGATTGGTCCTGGAACGCTGCCGCCGGGCTGGGGCCCTGAGACCTGGTGCACCCCTCTTTTCTTCAGGGAGCCGACCTTGAAAGGAGCCGGCTGAGGAGGGGACGGGCAAATGTGGCCGGGGCCCCACCCCGAGGAGCGGTGCCCTGTCGAGTGACCGCCCGGATCTGGCGCCTGACCGGAAGTTTAAAGGCTTGCGCTGAGGCCGAGATTGAGTCACCTACGAGACTTTCCACCCGTTTTGGCGAAGGTGCCTGACTGACTCACACCCAGAACTTGGCCTGGAGCTTGCTGCCGGGCGAGATTCCAGGCAGCCGACCCTGACATTAACCACTTTCACGTGTCCACCCACCTTCGTGGGGAGTGGGGAGGGTGGAGGACTGGTCTTGTCCAGCTTGCAGAGAGCAAGTTCTAGCTAGTTTAGGACATGGAGGGACTTCCTCATATTTCCTTTCTTTTTTCCCAGATTGGCTTATTCAGAATTCTTTGCCCTTGCCTGGGAGAACAGTTCATGAGACAGATGGCCCCAAGACTACCAAGACCCCAAATCGAGGCAAGTTTGACTTCAACTTTTCCCGAGAAATGGCCACTGTTTCAAAGTGAAGTTGGGTTTATGCTTCTTGCCTGGAAGATGCTCTGCCCTGTGTATGGACCAAATTAGGTTGCCTGAGCCTATCCTGGATTGGTGCAGCTTTACAGAGAAAGGAGCCCTCTCCCCACTGTTGTCCCTTCATTTCCTCTTTACCCTTTACAGAGTTGTTCACTAAATAGATTTTTGCTACCCATTCTTTCTAGAGTGCTAGAAGCTGAAGAATACTTTGTAGGAAAAGTATAGCTGTTGCCTGAAAGGGGTTGCCAACTCACAGAAGATGAAAAACAGACTCATCATACAACGACAGAGGCTGAAGTGTCAGTGAATGATACACATGATATAGTGATGGTAGTGCTTTTTTTTTTTTTTGATGGTAGTGCTTTTGATATTCAGGGGTCAGAGGAGTCTAAAGGGTGGATGGGGGGTGGTGGTGGTGGTGGTAATCCTTTTAGTTCTTCCTGAAGATTAAATGAAGCTTGCATAATTGCAGAAGTTGGGGTGACTAGGGGAAGGCTAGGACATGAGTGAAACCATCACATCTAAACCAGGAACAAACTGGTCTCAGAGACATTTGAAAACATTTGGGGTCTAGAATGCCAGGCTGGAGTTTGCCTTTATTCTGGAGGAAACTGGGTTTTGAAGGATTTTGAAAAGTTGACAGGAAGTAATTAGCATTTTGACAGGAAGTAATATATAGTTGAGTATTACACAAATTAAGAGCACAGAGAATTTTAATTTTTTTTAAAGATTTTATTTATTTGACAGAGACACAGCGAGAGAGGGAACACAAGCAGGGGGAGTGGGAGAGGGAGAAGCAGGCTTCCCGCGGAGCAGGGAGCCCGATGTGGGGCTCGATCCCAGGACCCCGGGATCATGACCTGAGCTGAAGGCAGACGCTTATGACTGAGCCACCCAGGCGCCCCAAGAGTACAGAAAATTTTAAAAATTAAAGGTTACCTATATTCCTATCACACTAACAAGTCAAATTATTTCATTTGAAATACTTTTGCATATGTATTTTTTAGGTTTACCCATTTTTTTTCCTTTTAATTTGTCATAGCCATTTCTTCCAATTTGCTCCATAGTTTCATTACCATTTTTTATAGTTCCTTTTTATACTGTAGTCAACCAGCCTGGTAACTTTGAACAGGTTCTTTCAACTCTCTGAGCTTTACTACCTTTAATGATAAAATAGATTTACTTTATGAATAGTCATGGTAGAAATTCAGAGAGATGATGTATAGCCTGGGGCTTAGCACTGTGCCTGTTACATATTAAGTTGCTATTGCTAGGAAAGGCTATTGACAAATATATATTATTTCCCAGTAAATTCTAGGATGAAGCCAGTATCACTTTGCATGTCTTTTTGAGTTTCAGTTCTTTCGTTAATTGACAAATCCTTGAACACTTCCGAAATGTGCCAGGCAGTGTTTTAGGCTGGTGAGGCAGCAGTGACCCAACTGGTCCCTAACCTCCCGGAGCTCACATTGTAGATGATACCAACAATAAATCTAATCTTGCTAGGAAGTGAGAAATCGTGTGAAGAAAGTGAAGTGGGTCATGGGATAGAGGGTGGTAGAGGATGGGAAAAGAAAAAAGAGAAGAACTTTCTGATGAGGTGACATTTAAGTAAAGACCTACAAAGTGAGAGATGAGCAAATGCCATGCCCAGAGGAGGGAGCATGATAGGTGTGTTGGCATGAGGAGGGCAGTGTGGTTCAGATGAGGGGCCATGACCTCCCTTAATCCCTGCCTGGATTTTCCAGCTTCTTATCTTTTAATTTTTTGTTCCTGTGTAGCAAGTCTGATTTCTGAGCCTGTTATATATTTTCCCCCTTGATCCTTTCATTAACTGTCTTCCACTTCCCTCTGCATAAACAATCTGAAATATCAGAAGCTGGCCTTGAATGTGTTACTTTCCTTTTCTAGTGAGGACTTCCTGGTTCTCTACTTCAGGGTCAAGGGTGTAAACAGTTCCTGGATGAGCAGAATTGGGTTTGATTTTGCAGGGATCACTGACATTTGGGGATGTAGCCGTGGCCCTTACTCAGTTTGAATGGAAACACTTGGATGCCACTCAGCAAGCCCTGTACAGGGATGTGATGCTGGAAAACTATGGGAATCTGGTGTCTGTGGGTAAGGGTGTCTTTTTTTTTTTTTAAGATTTTATTTCTTTGAGAGAGAGAGAACATGAGAGTGCATGCGAGCAGGGGAGAGGGGCAGAGGGAGAGGGAGAAGCAGACTTCCTACTGAGCAGGGAGCCTGACAGGGGGCTTGATCCCAGGACCCCAGGATCATGACCTGAGCTGAAGGCGGACTCTGAACCAACTGAGCCACCCAGGCACCCCGTAAGGATGTCTTTTTAACTCAAAATTGATTTCTTGGGCAACTGTGGGTTTTCACAGGTATACGGGGTATTTAAAAATCTTAAATGGGAGGTTTTGTTTGTTTTTAGCATGGGCTTAGAGGCTGGAGTTAATGCTCATTCTGTCCCTCAGAAAGAGTCATACAGAGTTTAAGATGACAGCTTTTTGTGCAGTCTAGCCCAGTTCTCTAAATTTTTCCATGTACATGTCTATAACTACATGATTTGGACATCCTGATACCACCCTCTAGGCCTCCCTGAGATTGAGGTCTGGGATAACTGCTTTTGCTCATCACTACAGTCACATTCCTTTTCTTTCTGTACTAATAGGACTTCTCTCTTCCAAACCCAAACTAATCACCCAGTTGGAGCAAGGGGCAGAGCCATGGATGGAAGTAAAACAGATTCCATCAGATACTTGTTCTGGTGAGTGAGGTGGGAACCATTTCAAGCAGCGGCTGAACACATTGAATGGTGAGGAGGGGTTCTTGGTCAGAAGGCTCATCTTGGAGGGCCCATGTCTGGGCAGCAGGGCTGGGGCACTTGACACCAGTTTCCTCTTTTTAATGTCATTGTCGTGTCAAATGACTTGCCATTTTTCTCTTCATTCCTATGGAGAGCTGCTCCCTTGTCGAGGGCCTCAGGCGCATGACCTCTTGCTCTGAAATCCTCAGTCTCTTTATGTGTTTTTTTCCCTTCCCATTTTCAGGCACTTTTCAGGCTATACTTTGTTTTTGTTTTCTGTCCCATTCTCAATTCCTTTCAAATTCTGTCATGGTTAGCTTAATAAATGACTGTATATCCCTTTCTAGTTTTAATATCCATTATCTCTAATCATATAGTGACAGTGGCAGATTCCAAGTGTAAGCATAGTTTCCTATCAGATAATTACTATTTTTGGCAAACAAACTGATGGGGAGGCATTTTCTTCCCTGTGGTCTTTTTAAATTTCTCTTCTCTGTTATCCTTTACTCTTGACTCTCATTTTTTTTTTACATATACTTTGCATAAATTTCTGTATGTCACTTTCTTCGTGTCATAATTCATTTTAAAATCTTTAAACATGGATGTTTCTCTCACCTAAAATATTTATCCTGCCAGTATTCCTTTTTTAAAAAACTCTGTCATTTTGCCTGTATCATCCTCAGAGAAACTTTTATAACTGTATTTCATGGAAAATACTAAGGATACATAATTTGTTTAACCTAGGTTTTTGGCTTTGTTTTGTTTTTTAATGCTTTTCAGTAATTCTTTTTGTTCTTACTACATTTAACTAAATTTTCCCCTAAATTTTTGTGTAGATTATTTTTTTTTCAAAAAGATTTTATTTATTCATTTGAGAGAGAGAGAGTGCGTGCATGAGCGTGGGGAAGGGGGGGGGAGGGAAGGGCAGAGGAAGAAGCAGACTCCCCGCTGAGCAGGAAGCCTGACTCCTGGGGCTGACCCCAGGACCCTGAAATCATGACCTGAGCCCAAGGCAGATGCTTAACTGACTGAGTAATCCAGGCACCCCTGTGTAGATTCTTTATAGGGTAATAACAGTAACTCAGTCTTTCTTATTCTTTGTTCTTTCTGTTTTAATTTTGGTATTTTTTGATATAAGATGTTTAGAATTTAGTTGTAGTAAAAGCTAGCAGTGTTTCCTTTGATATTTCTTCCATCCATTGGAAGGTAATACATCTTTATGCGAAGATTCCACAATAATTCCATGTTTTACACTTCCCCCTCCTTTTTTGCGTATTCCACTCTATTGGTTTTTTTTTGGATCTTTCCTATTTTCATCCTGTGGTATAGTTTAATTCACATGATAGCTGGTTCCCTGAAAGTTTGGCCCTTGTTTTGTTTTTACTTATTTTTTAATATTTTATTTATTAAAAATTTTATTTATTTATTTGACAGAGAGAGAGAACACAAGCAGGGGGAGATGTAGGCAGAGGGAGAGGGAGATGCAGGCTTCCCACTGAGCAGGGAGCCCACTGGGGGGCTCGATCCCAGGACCCTGAGATCAAAACCTGAGCCGAAGGCAGGTGCTTAACCAACTGAGCCAGTCAGGCACCCCGGTTTTTACTTATTTTTAATGGCAGGGAGCAGGGGAGAGAAATTAGGGGGTAGTTATTTGATGATAATCTCTCTTTTATGGTAGCTTGTCCAAGTAGATTTTTGCTCTCTCTCAAAACAGTTTTGATAATTTACAATTTACTAAAAATATCCAGTAATTCAAGTTCTCAAGTTATTGGTATAGTTTTGAACAAAGTAGCCTTTATGGTTCTTTTTAAATTTTATTTATTTATTTATTTGAGGGCGGGAAGGGGGGGGCGTGGAGCACTGGCTGGTGGGAAGGGGCAGAGGAAGAGGGGAGAAACACTCCCCGATGAGCAGGGAGCCCAACATGAGACTTGATCCCAGAACCCTGGGATCACGGCCTGAGCCAAAGGCAGACGCTTAACTGACTGAGCCACCCAGGTGCCCTGCCTTTATGATTCTTTTTGATTTTTATTTGTTTATTTTTTAAAAGTTTATTTATTTATCTTTTTAAGTAATCTCTACACTCAATGCGGGGCTCATACTCATGACCCCGAGATCAGGAGTCGTGTGTTCTTCCAGCTGAGCCAGACGGGTACCCCTATGATTCTTTTGTAATATCCTCTACATTTATGGTTACCTTCTATTAATTTCTTACATTATTTATTTGTCTTTTTAAGATTTAATAACTCTT